ATCATCATCAGCAGCATCACCATCAGCATCAGCATCAGCATCATCATCATCAGCATCATCATCAGCAACATCAGCATCATCAACACCATCACCATCATCATCATCAGCAGCATCGTCATCATTATCAGCAGCAGCATCATCATGATCATCATCATCAGCATCATCATTATCATCATCAACACCAGCATCATCATGGTCATCATCAGCATCGGCATCAACTTCACCACCATCAGCATCGTCATCAGTATCATCATCACTATCATCATAATCATCAGTATCATCATCGTCATTAGCATCATCATCAGCAGCATCATCACCATCGTCATCAGCATCATCGTCATCAGCATCATCATCAGTCTCAGCATGATGACTATTGGCATCATCATCATAATCATCAGGTTCATCATGATCGCCAGCCTCAGCATCATTCTCACAAGCCTCACCGTCATCATCAGCATTATCGTATGCAGCATCAGTATCCTCATCATCACCATCACCTGCATCAGCATCATCATCATCATCATCATCATCATCATCACCACCATCGCCATCGCCATCATCAGCATCACCATCATCATCAGCAGCATCAGCGTCATCAGCATCATCACCATGCGCACCAGCATCATCAGCATCATCATGCTCATCAGCAGCATCACCATTATCATCATCATCATCATCATCATCATCATCATCATCATCATCATCATCATCATCAGCATCGCCATCGTCATCATCAGTATCAGCATCGTGCCTCTCTCCTGCGGTGGGCCAACATTTGGGTTCTCGGTTCCCTCGACATGGCTAGCCTTCGCCCCAAACAGTGCTGCGCCCACCCCTTGGCCAGGAGCTCCGACGCGCACTTGAGGACCCCGAGGAGAAGCCGACCCGCAGGGAGAACAGGAGCCGAAGGATCACGTGCATGGCGTGATACGGCATGTTCTTGTAGAAGCACGGTCTCGTCACCATGGACACGGATGAGTTGTGGAGTCGGATCTGGCGGAATTGGGCGCCACCCACGCAACTGCTCGTACAAAAAGGCGACGATGCTCGAGTTTGGCGGCTCACGTTTGCTCAGGGAGTGCGTCTGGCTGTAGCGCGGCATCATTGGCGGCACGAGTTGGGGCCGAACGCGCCCACGAAGTGCGACAATGTCCTCAGCGTAGGGCCGACGCACGGCCCCGTACGCGTCGTTGTCCGTTCCTTCGAACTCGTATTCACAGTCGCGGGGGCTGAACTGGGCGAGCGTGGACGGGGCGCACCACGCCAACCACTGGTCGAAGTCATCGAGCTCTGGCCTATCGTAGAAGATGCTGGGGGACCAGTGGTCAGCAATGCCCGTCGCTACGTTGGTGAATGTACTCATCGAGGCGCTTACGCTGGCGCGGGCCCGACGGCATCTGCCGCGGCTGCAAGATGGACGGGATGCCCTGCACGTCATTGATGATGGGGTCAACGGCAATGGTCTCGCCCAGCTCGTCAACCCATGCAAATCTGAAAGGAGATGTGGAGCGCGTCGAGGCTCGACGATGAAGATGCGCGCCTAGCCGTCACAGTAGACGGGCCCTCAAACGAAGCGCCACTGATCGACGGGTTCCCATGAGGCGCCTCGGCGGCCACAGCGCGATCGAAGACGTCGGCCGCGTCGGGCTTCGGGAAGAGAAAGCGATCCCTCCAGACCTAGCAGTGCCACTGCCGCGATGCAAAATCGCGCGCCGATACGGCACGCTGCTGATGAGACGGCGCAGGCGCCGCGATGCGCCGTGAACCCCCAGAACCGCAACGATAAATCCCTGGCGCAAGTACGGAACGAGCTGCTGCAGCTTGGACTGGCGTCGCCGACGGCCCCGTTCAAGCAGACCGCGGGCATTCCAGGACACGAGCTCGAGCCCGCGCGGAGAGGGGCCGGACCGCTGAATGTTATCTCCCACAATATGCCCCGACCCTCGGCGAAGAAATCGTGGACGCGCTCGTCGACGGCGCTGCGGTCGATGCCCTTGGCCATGGCGAGGGGTCGGTGCCACTCCACCGTGGCCTGCGCGCTGGCACTGGCGCCAATCTCGAGCTTGGCGATGGAGGCGCCTTCGAAGGTGAGCAAGCCTTCCTGCTTGCACGGCCCAAAAGAATGATCTGGGCACCCGGCAGCTGAGGAGGAGGAGGAGGAGGAGGAGGAGGAGGAGGAGGAGGAGGAGGAAGGAGGAGGAGGAGGGGGAGGAGTAGGAGGAGGAGGAGGAGGAGTCCTTTTTTTTTCTCGCGCGCCACGAGCCGCGCGCCCTCCGCGCACCGGCTGCCGACGTGGCCTGGCCCTCGCCTGGGCCGTCTTGAGACGCGCCCAGGCACGTCCCATCGGGCAGCGGCACAGCTCGGCGGCACAGCGGGCGCGCCCGATCTCCTCGACAGAGGCACTCCCCCCCGCCCTCGGACTTGTTTGGATTTCTCTGCGGACTTGCCGCACTGCGGTCGACGCTGACGACGAGGGGGCGGGCTGGCCACGGACCGCGCTGGCGGCGGAGGCATGCCGGGCACCGCCGGGAAGCTTGGGCCCCAGGGCGAGAACGGTGCCTCGCGGGAGGACGACTGCTCGATCACCGAGCAAACGAACTGTGACACGCTCGGCGGGAACGTCCCCGACAAGCGCGACCTTGTTCCAGTCGACAACAGCTTAAAGCTGTTGTCGACCGGAACAGGAACCGGTCCGAACCGGAAACAAAAAATAAACGTACCGAACCGAACCGAACCGAACTGGAAGATTACGAGACCGAACCGAACCGAACCGGAGGCGCTTCGGAACCTAACCGAACCGTACCGAACCGGCGCTTTCCTGAGCTTTGTGGAACCACCGTTGCAGTCCTGCACGCAGACGCTGCGGCGCGACGAGGTCGGAGCAGCTCACGGGGAAGACCGCTGAGTCATATTCAAATGCGGCCTCGGCGGCGAGGTCGACGACAGGGAAAGAAGCCTCTGCCAACGCCAACGCACGGTTGATCTCGTCGATCGCCTGTCGATGTCTCAATTGTTCTGCCTCTGAGGTAGCAACGCGTCGCGTGAGCTCCGCCACTTCACCCTCGGTCGCTGAGATTCGCTTGTTGTAGGCCCCCTGGTACCCGCGCACGGCGGCGTCGACATCTGCGACGTGGTGGTGCGGAAGGCGACCGCGGCGGAATCGACATGGGCTGTGAGCTGCCCATAGAGGGGCTCCGCGATAGGCTCGCTGCTCTCAAACTCAGGTGAGGGTCCCCGGCGAACACGGGAATGGGCATCAGGTGCACTGGGACCAGCGGCTGCTGGGGCTGCTGTTGCTGCGCCTGCGGATGACGCTGCTGCCCCCGAAGGTTGCCACAGGTCAGCAGGCTCAGCGCCGCTGATCGGATCGGGTCAGGTCAGCACCGCCGGATCGGGTTCGCCACCAGGCTCGCGAGCTCGATATCCTCCGCCCGGGGTGCCCGCGATGCCCTCCTGCGATGGGGGCCCAGAAGCAATGTCCAGGAAATGGCCCAGCGGTGCCGGAACCACCCCAGGAAGAAAAGCAGAGGCGCCTCCCGGGGCATGGGCAGGCCGAGGTAGCGAGGGCGCTGCGCCCGCGCATACTGACCGAGCTCCAGATGCAAGCACTCCGCGTTCTTCTGCACGACGACGGTCGGGGCCACGATCTTTGCGTCGACGACGCATGCCTTAACCGCGTCGGTCATGGTCTTGAGGCGGTCGCTGAGAAGTTCGTTATCCTCTGCTGCGCGAGGCGCTGCGCTCCACTTGTTGAATCCGAAGTATCGCCCATGCTAACATCGGTGAGCCGGCGTCGCTCAGGTCGGCCACCGCTTCGGGGATGGGCCCAGGCGTCCAGAGAGGAGACCTGCCCGTTTTCTCGCCCTTGGACTGCGCCGTCGGCGCGAGCGGGTCGCAATCGAAGCTGAGGTCATGGAAACCGAGGCCGGGGCCCTGATTCTTCGACGGGAGGAGCTCGACCGTCGGCCAAGATATGAGGAGCGCAAACGCGAGGAGTGGACGCCAGCTCCCCCCTGGGCGCTGGCCGCGGCCTAGCGGCATCCATGGGGACACCCGCAAGCAACGCCATCTCGAGCCACAACGGCTACGGAAAAGGAGGCAAGAGGAGGGAGAGGAGGAGGAGGAGGAGACCACAGCGTTCCATTCAAAACGAAGAACCCAACACAGGAGAAGTGGGAATTCCTCCGACGATAAGACCCCACACGATAATCTCCGAGGGTTAATCCAGAAGTAACCCTCATCGTCGTTCCTACGATTGCGGAAATTAGTGCCCTGTCTCCTCTGCGCCGTTCTCTTTCTCCCGAGGGCGCAGGCCCTCCTCCTACCCGCCCCCGGTTTTGCCTCCTCCTCGCCCTCCTGCCTTTCCTTCTCCTCCGCCACCCACCCCACTCTGGTTGCAATAACGCGCGCATCGATCTTCGTTGGCGCCGTCGCCGCTTCGGGGCGCAGGAACGCGTTCTCCGATAGCCATATCGCGAAGCCGTTCGGGCAGCCTCGCGAACCGCGCCGTCGGGGCAAGCCCGCGGGCCGCCCGCGCGCGAAACCGAACCGTCGGGACAGGCCCGCGGGCTTCGAGCGGGGCGCGGCCGCGCTCGGGCGGGAGGCAACGCGAAGGCAAGCTCTGCGGCGAGCTGCTCGGCCTCAGACCTGGAGCTCGTCGCTCTCTCGTCGCCCCCCCCCCCATGTCTTCCGCAAGGGCGCCGGCGGCCCGAGCTCCAGAAACTCGCGCGAGGGCGGCCGCGGGACCAGCACGCACCGCACGCGCGCCGCTGCTCGTCCGACATGCCCGCGCGGACAGCGTCCTCATCCCTGGCACAGTCGATGGTGACGCCTTTGCGCGGCGTCTGACCCTGCGACAGCGCGGAGGTGAGGTAGGACGCATGCGTCAGGGTGAACCCCGAGCGGTACACGGCTTGCGGCCCAGAGCTCTGCCACGTGAGCTCGTGCTCGCTGCGCCTGAACACGAGCACGCTCCGCTCCAACGCCTCGGCCTGGCCGTCGCCGCCACTGCCGTTGCCTTCGGCACCCTGTAGCAACAGTTCGGCGACCTCCCTGTAAATCGGAGACTCGTTGAAGCCGTGCACCTGCATCCAGATTCCCTGCGGTAGGAAGCGGAGGCGAAAGAGCCGGCCTGGCGCGTACTGTTCGTACCGCAGCCGATCTGCGGACCCCATAGGGAGGCTCCCGCTCGAGATTTCCTCACGATTCGCTCACAGATGCCTCAGGGGCCCAAAAGTGACGACGGTCACAAGATTCTGACGACCCTATCGGATTACTAACATGACCTGGCGGCCCCTGGCTTCATTACGATTCACTGACAAATGAGGCTCTCGCTCGAGACTTCCCCCAGATCCACGCCTCGAGGGCCCAAAAGAGACAACAGTTACAGGATGTGGATGACCCGATCGGATTACTAACATGATCTGGCGGCCCCCTGGGGATGGGATTCCCGCCTGACACTTCATTACGATTCACTCACAAACGAAGTTCTCGCTCGAAACGTCCCCCAGATCCACGTCTCGGGAATTCAAAAGTGACGAAAGTCTCAAAATGTGGACGACCCGCTCGGATTACTAACATGATCTGGCGGCCCAATAGGGAGGGGGGTCCCACCTGAGCCTTCCTCACAAGTTCTTCGCAAACGAGGCTCCCGCTCGAGACTTCCTCCAGACCCACGCCTCAGAACCCCAATAGCGACGACGGTTACAAAATGTGAATGACCCGCTCGGATTACTGATATCATCTGGCGGCCCCATAGGGATGGGTTCCCTATTGAGACTTCCTCACAGATCACTTACAGACGAGCCTCCCGCTCGCTTCCTCAAGGCCCCCGCCCCAGCATCCCAAAAGTGACGACAGTTACGAGCTCTGGATGACCCACTCGGATTACTAACAGAACCTGGCAGCCCCAGGATGGATAGAATGTGAAAACAGAATGGTAAGAATAAACATAATAATAATAGTAATAATAATATTAATAGTAATAATAATGATAATAATAATAATAACAACAACGATAATCATAATCATCACCAGCAGCATCATCAGCATCCTGATAATAATAATAATAAGAAGAAGAAGAAGAACGACAATGATAATAAGAAAACAATAACAACCAAAATACGTAAAAAAAAAAAAAAAAAAAAAAAAAAAAAAAAAAAAAAAAAAAAAAAAAAAAAAAATGACAACAACAAGAATCGTACGTATACTAATAATAACGATGCTGTTGATGATGCTGATGCTGATTATGATGCTGATGCTGATGCTGATGCTGCTGCTGATACTGCTGCTGATGCTGATGCTAATGCTGATGCTGATGCTGATGCTGATGTTGATGCTGATGATGCTGCTGATGCTGATGAGGCTGAGGATGCTGGTGATGCTGCTGCTGCTGATGATGCTGGTGATGCTGATGATGCTAATTCTGATGCTGATGATGGTAATGCTGAGGATGGTGATGGTAATGACGATGGCGATAACGATGATGTTGACGAAGGGGCTGAGGGTGAGGATGATGATGATAGTGATGCTGTTGGTGATGCTGGTGATGGCGATGATGATGGTGCTGATGATGATGGTGGTGATGATGATGGTCTGGTGATGGTGATGGTGATGGTGATGGTAGTAGTGATGATACTGATGATGGTGATAGTGATGGTCCTGATGATGGTGAAGATACTGGTGGTAATGGTGATGACAATGACGGTGATGATTGTGATGATGACAATGCTGATGATGATGATGATGATGATGATGATGATGATGATGATGATGATGATGATGGTGATGGTGATGGTGATGATGCTGATGATGCTGATGATGCTGGTGATGGTGATGGTGATGGTGGTGATGATGATGGTGGTAATGATGGTGGTGATGCTGATGAATATCATGTTGATGGAGATTGCGATGGTGATGGTGCTGGTGCTGGTGAGAATAGTGATGATGATGATGATGATGATTATGATAATGGTGATGATGAGAATGGTTACGTTATGGTGGTGATGATGATGGGGCTGATGATGATGATCATGATCATGATCGTCATCACGATGATGGTGATGATGATGGCAATGATGGTGATGATGATACTGCTGATGCTGATGATGATGACGATGAGAATGATGATGATGGTGATGATGATGATGATGATGATGATGATGATGGGGAGGAGGAGGATGTGGGGAGGATTATCCTGATGTTCCCGTGCAGGGCGTGCAAAAAAAACAAGAAGCCCACTTAAGATATGGGGAATACCCCCGTGCACTTTGCATCAATATATCTGGGGACCACGCGCGGACGCCCCGCGATCACTTCCCATTGGCTGTTAACAGGGGGCAGTGTATCGCAGGAGGAGGAGGAGGAGGAGGAGGAGGAGGAGGAGGAGGAGGAGGAGGAGGAGGAGGAGGAGGAGAGGAGGAGGAGGAGGAGGAGGAGGAGGAGGAGGAGGAGGAGGAGGAGGAGGAGGAGGAGGAGGAGGAGGAGGAGAACACCGCCAACCATCCCTGGCAACAGCACAGATCAAAATGCGTGTTGCACCAGGATTGAGATCATGCGTGGACGCCTCGCGCACACATTGCATTGGCTGTTGACAGGGATGGGGGGGGATGCCGGCACACTGCCTGCTGCGTGCAGGCCCACCATCCCTACACAATAAACCTGCCGTCATTTAAACGAGTCTGGGCTTCCTGGGGGGCGCTAATCAGGGACCCCCCCCTCTTTGATCGATCTCCCCCAAGATGGCCCCAAGATGGCCCCCAAGAGGGCCCCTTCATGCGCCGCGGAGGCCCCATGAGGCACCCGAGAGGTCCCCAGGAGTCGCTCAAGAGACCCCCAAGAGGCCCAAGAGGCTCCCCCGAGGCACCCAAGACACTCCCGGAGGCTCTGCGAACGCGAAGAGGCCCCGGAAGACGCCCCAAGCGGTTTCAAGAAGCTCTCAAGAGACATCCGAAGAGACTCCGAGAAGCATCCAAGAGGCCTCTGGCCTTTCTGGTCGCCCTCCTCCTCCTCCTCCTCCTCCTCCTCCCCCTTTCCTCCTCCTCCTCCTCCAATTCCTCTTCTATCCTCCCCTTATTGGGGTATGACGGCTTCGTCAGCCCTTTATTCCATTGAATGCTCCTCCACATCCCTGATCGGAGCAACTCGCCTGGGCATCGTTTCTGCATAGGCTGGTGGAGCTACGCATGTATACATATAAATATACACACACAGACATACATAGAGCATATATATATATATGTGTGTACACACTCATGCATGTAGCTCTGCCTGTCCCATTATACATCCCTCTGCATCACCGTTTGCTCATCGTCTCTTCGTTCCGACCCACTCGCTCTCCGCGCCCTCCTTCAGAAGTCGCTGCTCTCGAGCACCAGATCGAGCTTGTATCGTCGTAGCAGCAGCCCTTCTCCTGGCACTCCGCCTCCGTTATGCCGTCATGCCCGCAGTCCTTCGCGATGTGGCGACGGGACGAGGTGCTTAGAGGTCTCCCCGAGGGAGGAGGAGAGCCAGAAGCAGCAGAGGGAGTAGCAGCAGGCGGCAATTCGGAAAGAATTGGAGAGAGGGGCCTATGATATGAACGGAAATCGGCTACACGCAAGAGTGACCCTAGGCGACAGTGACCTTTGGTGCGCGGCTTCAGGGGACCGCGAAGGGCCCAAACCCGAGCGCGCGGGCCAGTGCTGGAGCCACCCCTGTGAGCCCGCACCAAGGGTCACTCCGGCGAGAGGTCACTCTTACGCGTAGCCGATGACAGAAAGGAGGGAGGAGGAAGCAGGGAGGGGGACGAAGCGGAGAGGAGGATGAGGATCAAGAGGAGTGGCAGGCACGGGTGGGCGCCTCTATCGCGTCGGGCGCGGGATGGCAATTCTCGGCGAGGAGGACCTCCCTCGCTCCCCGGGCAGCCTCCCTCTCCAACCCGTCCCTCCCTTCCCTCCTCGACCCCCCTCTTCTCGGCTACACGCAGGGGTGATCCTGGGTAACTAACAGTGACCTTTGGTACCCGAAAGAGGGGCGGATAACGCCGGGGGGGTAGAGTCCATTCTCTTTTTAGAAAGGTGAATATACTTTGTGTACCATATGTTGTGCAGAATACGCGGTGCCCCTTACGATGTACATGTTATGGTGTCCGATCGATGTGGGGCAATGCAACGATATTTTTATATATATATATATATACACATATATACGTATATATATATATATGTATATATACACGTGTGGTGTTCACTCGATGTGGTGCAATGTATGGTGTGAAGTTGACTACCCTGCACCGCGCCTGACCACCTCCACTGCTCGCGCAAACATCCCACCCACCCGCCCGCAACTTGGTCGCAAGACTTCTTAAGACAAGACCGTGACGGTAGGTACCACATGGCACTTGGCCACGACACCGACGCCGACGACGACAGCGACAACGGCAACGACGGCGCCGCCGACACCGGCTACGACGACACCGCCGACGTCGACGTCGACGAAGACGACGACGACGCCGACGCCGACGACGACGACGAAGACGACGACGACGTCGCCAACGAAGACGACGACGAGGGAGGAGGGAGGACGACGACGGCGACAACGACGACAACGACGATGGAGGAGGGAAGACGGCGACGACGCGAACGACGAAGAAGGAGGAAGGACGGCGACGCCGACGACGACAACGACGAGGGAGGAGGGAAGACGACGACGACGACGACGACAACGACGACGAAGACGACGACGACGGCGACGAAATAGGAGGGACGACAACAAGACGCCGACGACGGACGACGACGACGACGACGACGACGACGAGGGAGGAGGATAACGACGAGGGAGGAGTGAAGACGACGACGACGACGACGACGACGGCGACGAAATAGGAGGGACAACGACGAAACGCCGACGAAGATGACGAGGGAGGAAAGACGACCACGGCGACAACGACGACGGAAGCGACGACGACGCCGGAAGCGACGACGACGACGACGAGGAAAGACAGAAGCTGACGACGGCGACGACGACGACGACGACGAGGAAAGAGGGAGAACGACGACGACGACGACGCAAGAGCGCGCGCGCACGCTTTTGTTGAAAATCCGTGTTGCGTTTTTGTAAGGTGATTGGAGACACAATTTCGAAATCTTTCCGAAACCGATGGGTTTTGAAGGTTTCCGGCATGCGCGCGCGACGACGCGCGCGTCTGCACTTCGTCCCATTTTTTGCAAAGAATTCTCGCGACGGCACACGCGCAATGGCGTTCGACAGATTTCGACACGCGCGCGCGCGAAGCCAGGTTAATGGCATTTTGTGAAAATCTTGAAAAAAAATGGTTTCTTAAGATTTCGTAAGAGCTCGCGCGGAAGCTTTTTAGCAAATCAGTGTTGCGAAACCCTGTTTTTAATGTTGTTTGGACAGTCGATTGCGAAATCCTTCTGGCACCGAAGGTTTTTGAAGGATTTCGGCATGCGCGCGCAACGACGCGCGCGTGCGCACTTCGTCTTATATGTTGCAAGGGATTCGCGAAAAAAATGCTACGCTAGAACAACACATGTCACCGCATAGTGTTTTTTTTTACAAGGGAACCTCAGGGGGGGGATACCGGCCCATAATGTAGCCAGAATCATATGACATGTGGTCAGAACGGACATGTGGTCAGAATCATAAGTGAATTACGTACCCGAAAGGGGGTGTGATAACGCTGGGAGGGAGGGGGGGTAGATCCTATTCTGTTTTAAGAAAGGAGAACGAACTGTTGTGTGCAGTGAATTGCCAACTCCACTATTCGCGCAATCACCCCACCCACCCACCCGCAACTGGGTTCGCATAAGCCCATGAGGCGGCGATTGTGATGAGCGTTTGGTGATGGTTGGTGCCTCTTTGTGGCCGCCGTAGCCCGCGCATGCTCACGCGCAGCGGCTACCTAGTTTGGCGCGGCCGACGCGGCCACTGTGGCGCTGACCAGTGGGCACTTCCCAACGGGGACTTCAGTGCGAGTCGGCGACTTGGGCGGGCGCGGTACAATGGCAAAGTCGTCAGCGGTAGACACAAGGATGATACTGGTGATGCTTATGACGATGATGACAACGACGACGCCAAGTCCAGTGACGGCGCCGATGCTGATCACGCCGACGACGATGACGGCGTCCTCTCGTTGGTGAAGAAAGTTCCAGAAGGAGTTCGACATGCGCGCGCGGCCGACGCGCGTGGCATTATTTGAAACGGATCGCCCCCCTCCAAAAAATCACACGCGTGCAAGGGCGTTCGAATGATTTAGGGATGCGGCGCGAAAGGCCCGTTTGGCAATTTACACAAGCGCAAGCGCAAGCTTGTTTGAAAGCTGGCGTTGCAAAACCATTGGGTTCCATAAGTGTACGGTGCATTCGCTTATGTAATCTTGACGAAACCTAGAATGTTTGAAAGACTGTGGCGTGCGAGCGCGACGACGCGCTCGTGCGCATTTCGTCCCATCTGGTGCAAGGACCCTTGTGACAGCACGCGCGCAGGGGGGGTCGAGCGATTCCGGCATGCGCGCGCGAGAAGCACGTTTGTGAGCAAGTTATAGCATGTTGAAAAAAATGTGTATATATATGTACACATTGAGGACAACGTAATAAACAAAAAAATAGGGTTGCATTATCAACTCGCCAAGGCCCGCGCGCACGCTCTTGTTGAAAAGTCGCGTTGCGAAACCATGGTTTTCGTACACGCATGTATATGTATATAATCACATCTATACATACATACATACATACATACATACGTATCAATTCGTGACACTCGTTTTGGGAATTCTTACAAAGTCTGGAGATTTCGAATGATTGCAACATGCGCGCGCGACGACGCGCGCAAGTGCACGTCGTCCCGCTTAGTTTGCTAAGGATTCTTGACAACTGATAAGTTTCATTGTTGAAGATAAAACGAATGTGCGCGCATTTTTTTTCTCTGAGGATGAACGGGGGGCGATACAGGCTTGTCTGGGATAGTACGAATTCATTTTTCGGATGGACGATGGGGCAAAATCAAATTTAAATTGCAATACGAAAAATAAGACCTTAATTCCGGGGGGTCATAATGCTCTTGTAGAACGAAAGATATAGGGTGCGCAATCGATGATGTACACTATACGTGGTGTTATCGATGTGACACAACCACACAATGCGGCACAGTACATGATGTGCATGTTATATGTTGAGCACCGTGCGTGCTGCATTATATGTGCGCAAGCGTTGTGAAAAACATGTGCTGTGTATGTGGCGCAATACACGATATGCAGTATATGTGGTGTAGAATACGTTGTGGTATGTGTATATACAGATACGGTACAATTGATGTTGTGCTATCGACGTGGACCAATACATGTGGCGCAATCTGCGTGGTGACATATACACTGTGCTATGTCTATGTGGTGTGATGTACAGGGCACAAACAATGTTGTGCAACACACGGTGTGCAATTTATGTGGTGCAATTCACCCCGGCGAAACTGAAGTTGCCGGTTCCACTGCTCGCGCAATCATCCCACCCTCCCACCCGCAACTTGGTTCGCAAAACCCACGCGGAGGCGATTGCGATGAGTGCTTGGCGTTGGCTGGTGCATCTCTGCGGCCGCGCTAGCCTGCGCATGCTCGCGAAGTGCAGCGGCCAGCTAGTTGGGCGCGACCGACGCGAACGCAATAGCGCTGACCGCTCGGCACATCCCACCGGGCACTTCAGTTCGAATCGGCGACTTAGGCGGGCGCGATACCATGGCAACGTCGACAACGGTTGACACGATGATGGTAGTAGCGATGCTGGTGACGATTATGACAACGACGACGGCACGGCCAGTGACGGCGCGGATGCTGATCACGCCGAGGACGATGGCGGCGTCCTCGCGTCGGTGATGAAAGTTCCAGAAGGAGTTCGACATGCGCGCGCGGCCGACGCGCGAGAGTGGCCCGCGTGGCACGATTTAAAACGGATGGTGCCAGCCCCCCCCCCGCACGCGAGCAAGGGCGTTCGAATGATTTCGGCATGCGGCGCGAGAGGCCCATTTGGCAGAATTGAATGACAATGCTTTTAAAAAAACTATGGATTTTTTTGAGAACTCGCTGAGGTTGCGAAACCATATGTTTTTGCACGTGTTGTTTAACACTCGGTTCTGAAATCCTTGCTGAACCGACGGATTTTGTTGAAGGATTCTGGCATGCGCGCGCGACGACGCGCGCGTGTGCACTTACCCCCATGTCTTGCAAAGGGTTCTTGCGACAGCACGCGCGCAGGGGCGTTCGAACGATTCCGACATGCGCGCGCGAAGCCCGATTGGTAGCATGTTCTGAAAATGTTGGACATCGGCCAGCGTTGACTCCAAATAGATTAAACAACTAAAATCAAGGACTCAGAGGAATCAAGCATGCTTGGAATCCGCAATTCAGCATACAAGCAAGCGCGCATGCAAGCGCGCAAGCAAGCAAGCAAGCAAGCAAGCAAGCAAGCGTGCAGGCGCGCGAGCGCGCAAGCAAGCAACCAAGCAAGCAAGCGCGCAAGCAAGCAAGCGCGCAAGCAAGCATAGGCGTAGGCGGAGGAGCGCTCAGAGGTGGTGCATAGGCATAGGCATAGGCATTGGCGTAGGCATAGGCGTAGGCATAGGCATAGGAGCGCTCAGAGGTGGTGCATAGGCATAGGCATCGGCATTGGCATAGGCATAGGCGTAGGCATAGGAGTTAGGGGGAGGCATAGGCGTAGGCATAGGCATAGCCATAGGAATCAGGGGTAGGGGGGCATAGGAATTAGGGGGGGCAACGGACCAATTAGTAGGGTTTGAGCTCGGACTCCTATAGGGCAAGCCTACGTGGCGAAAAAACACCGATTGAGTTCTTAAGAATTCGTGGGAGCGCGCGCGCAAGCTTTTTTATGGATTTCGGCATGCGCGCGCGACGATGCGCGCGTGTGCACTTCGTATCATTTGTTGCAAAGGGCTCTTGAAAACTCATGACTTCTGATAAACGAGTGTGCGCGCATAGCACTTGTTGCAGAGGATGGCGGGGGGGGGTCGATACCGGTTGGGCTGGGACGTTTTAAGCTCATATTTAGGATGGACGATGGGGCAGAATCATATGTGAATCGCAATACGAAAATGGCAGCCGATAATCCTGGGGGGGTCGAATTTGTTCTGGGAGTCTAAGTTGTGCCATCTATGCGGGGCGACCTCTGTCGTGCCATCGATGCGGGGCAACCTATGTGGCGGCGGCGAGGCGGCGACGAGGCAGCGACGGGGCGGCGCCGGTGGCCACAGAGCCGCAAGACCGAAGGCACGGCCCAGAAGACGGGCGGTGACCAGGCTGCGACGCGGCGGCGACGGCGGCCACACAACCACCTGACCAAAGACACGGCCCAGTTCATGAGAAGAGAAGTAGGAACCCCCAAGTACAAGCACTGCTTGGGGACTACATCTGTATGCGTACGTATACCCAAATATGTATATCTGCCCATAAACATGCGTACATGTAAACATCTATGTGCAAGTGGCCCTGCCTCTCCCTATTTACCTTCCCTTTCCCTCCCGTCCCCTGTCGAATTTAGCCTCTCATATCTCACTTCATGTCCCTCCTTTTCTCCCTCCCCCCCTCCCCCTCTCTCTTTCTCTCTGTCTCTCTATCTCTCTCTCTCTCTCACTCTCTCTCTCTCTCTCTCTCTTTCTCGCTCTATCTCTCTCTCTCTCTCTCTCTCTCTCTCTGTATGCTTCTCTCTCTCTCTCTCTCCCTCTGCCCCCAGCCTCTCTCTCTCTCTCTCGTTCTGTCCCTCCTTCTCTCCCTCTCTCTCTCTCTCTCTCTCTCTATCCCTCTCTCTCTCTCTCTCTCTCCTCTCTCACTCACTCACTCACTCACTCACTCACCCACCATCTGTCATGACTCTCTCATTTCCTCATTCTCCCCTCCCTCTCCCCCGCCCTCCCGCCATCCCCGCACACCTCCCCCGACCAGCCCAGCGGCGCTGCTCCACGCGCCGACGCCTGGCCGCTGGGCTCCGCTGGGCGCCG